GATATATATATACATATACATATTATATTATATATATATATATATATATATACATGGTTGGCATCATTGCAATGTACAGTGAATTAGTACTTCAAATCTATATGCAGCGTACATATCTGTGAAATGCTCTACTGCGTAGGTGTCACGTACGTATTCTCAAACCAATTCGTATTCTTAATCCGTATTCTACCATTAATAGCGCACGGTAATATAGAAAACGTTCCTCCAGTGGACGCAGCGGGTCATGCAACTCACATACAAATGCACACTTACTTTCGTGTGTATATGCACACTACTGTAAAAGTTAACACAAAAACACAAATACACATTCTCCTAAACCCTAATCCCTAAAAAACTCTAAAACCGTAAACCTCTCTCTAAACGTTCTTCTCTGCATTCCCTACTGCGCCTTAGTACAGACTGGTCTGTCCTTTTCACAGAACACACCTGGGGCCGTTGGACTTCTTGTCAAAGAAACTGATGCCGTGTATGAACTTGTTGAACCCCGAGGGCATCGCGGCAATCGACACTAAAATCTCATACAACGGTGCGCACAACTGTATGTGACGGAATAGGCAGTTGACGTGTATGTGACGGAATAGGCAGTTGACGTGTATGTGATGGAATAGGCAGTTGGAGTGTATGTGATGGAATAGGCAATTGGAGTGTAGGTGTCGGAATAGGCAGTTGGAGTATATGTGACGGAATAGGCAATTGGAGTGTATGTGACGGAATGGGCAGTTGGAATATATGTGACGGAATAGGCAATTGGAGTGTATATGACGGAATAGGCAGTTGGAGTGTATGTGACGGAATAAGCAGAGTGATGTAGGTAAACTAGGTGCGAGTGACTAAGCCTAGATAGGGTGCATGAGGTGCCTTCGATCCTTGGCGTATATGTGCACCTGGCGGATCAGGCAGGTGCTTGAGGATAACAGCATTTGACTCGATCACGGACGACTAATACCACCTATGTGTATGTTTGAGGTAAGTAGCGGTGTAAGCTTACGTTGGTGTGTACAGTAAGAGACCTAGCTGCCTGTGGCGCAGACACATGCACTCCGGCTGCACGTGATAGGGGTGACACGGCTGCACTTCATAGCATTGCCCACACCACAGAGAGCCATGGAGAGATGTAGGGGGAGTGTGACTAACAATCACTCGCCCCAGCTAAAATAGAACTGCACCACACCAATCACTCACCCGAGCTAAAAATAGAACTGCACCACACCAATCATTCACCCGAGCACAGAGATGGCACAGAGCAGGGCACATTCAGTTGAAAAGAGGACCGGGACAGAAGAAACGGGTGCAGGGGTGCAGCAAAACGAGACACCATGTGCAATACAAGCACGCGGCGAGCGCACTACACACACAAACCACACACAGACAAAAACCACAGACAGAGACGCCGAAGTAGCCACACATTCTCAGAAACACCTGCACGCTAACACTCGGGAATTCGACCGTAATCTCACTCCCCCCACTCACTCCCACCCACGCACACACGCACACACCCACGCACACACACACCCACGCACACACGCACACACCACCACCCACGCACACACCACTCATACACGCACACACACTCTCTCTCTCTCACACACACGCTCACACACACACACACTCTCTCTCTCACGCACACACACACTCTCTATCTCTCTCTCACGCACACACACACTTTCACACACACAGGCACACACACTCTCTCTCACACACGTACACACACTCTCTCTCACCCATCCACACACGCATACACACACTCTCACACACACACTCACACACTCACACACCTTGATGGCTAGTGCGTTGGACATGCTGGCCAAAGAATTAAACACAATGGACGCAGTATTCTGCATCTCCAGACTGACACCCTCAGCAACGGCCCCTGAGATGTTGGAGTCTTCATTGTCCATATAAGGCATGCTGGCTATCCTCTGTGCCGATAACACAGAGTTGGCCATGGCCTGCTCAGCTGCCTGGGTGAACGCCTGGGTTTGTGGTATGTGGGTATATATTTTAGTGTATGGGTGGGATATGACATGTAGGTATAGTATGCGTATATTTATGGCAAGAGGCGTGATTGGGGTGAGTGATTGATTGGTATGGCCACATAGAAAGCGTATACGCAGACAGCTGAATCGGGTGAGAGTACTTGCTGGAGTTTCTTAA